TGCGTAAAGCTTGTTACACGAGGGGAAAGGGTGGCTGGTTTGTTTAACGCAACGATAATCAGATGAATGGGAGCGACTGCAATCAATGCAAAGGCGATCACATTGTTAAATCTTAATTTTTCGAACGTTATGAAATTAAAGCGTGCAATTTTTTAATCGCGAATTACTGGTACTTGTGAATTTGATTAAAGGAAACTGTTTTTTTTTTTTATTAATGCAATTTGAATCTCAAGAAAGAGATTAGTTTGCAGAAAGGGAACTGTTTTTTGTTTTTTATTTTTTTTTTTTATTAATGCAATTTGAATCTGAAGAAAGAGATTAGTTTGCAGAAAGGGAACTGTTTTTTTTTTTATTTTTTATTATTAATGCAATTTAAATCTCAAGAAAGGGATTATTTTGCAGAAAGGGAACTGTTTTTTTTTTATTTAATTTGTTTTTTTTGTTATTGTTAATGCAATTTGAATCTCAAGAAAGAGATTAATTTGTAGAGAGGGAACCGTTTGTTTTTTTATTTTTATTGTTAATGCAATTTGAATCTCAAGAAATGGAACTGTTTTTGTTTTTATTTTTATTTTTAATGCAATTTGAATCTCAAGAAAGAGATTAATTTGCAGAAAGGGAACCGTTTTTTTTTTATTGTTAATGCAATTTGAATCTCAAGAAAGAGATTATTTTGCAGAAAGGGGAACTGTTTAAAGTCCTTCGTTAACATTCTGATGTTTTAAAAGGTGTTTTTAAAGGTGTATAAAACAGAAAATAATCGCGTCGAACGTCTTTTAAAATACCAAAATGACGGAATTTAAAAAGAGTCTTAGATGACAAATCAGTCGTAAAATTGAACGAACTGGTAATAAAATTTTTATTTCCCCATCGTAACGCGACGTTTAGTTCCTAGTTTTATCAATGAAAACCTTCGAATTAGAATGTTGTAATCTGAATTTTACGACATCGAGTCACGATAATGGCGATATAAAAAAACCTTCGATATTTAATACTTGTTCTGTTGTATTCTGATTTCAAGGTTTTAATTTACGACAGAGCCAAACAGGTTCCGGATACGGATATGGAGTCGTAACGAAAACGAAATTTTCCTGCCATCTGTTCAAGTTTTACGACTGAATCTGAGATTATGTCCTCGATATATGAATATAAATTCTGGAAATTGTTGTACGTCGAAACCAGATATTAAATTTCGCTTGTAGATCGTGTAAAGAGCCGAGGAAACGTCAGAGTGACAAGGACTTGTGTTGTAAATAACGCATTGCCGAGCGTATCACGTAATTCACGCGTGCGATTCGAAGACTATTGCGAATTACATTATCGAGGCTGCACGCGCCTAACATTAAATGCATCGAACGAATTTACTTTCCTCCGCGAACGAGCCGCACGGCGATTACAAATGGCTCCATCGACATTCTTCCATTCGTTTCTACGAGGCAAACGTCTACATCATCAGAAGAACGGTATTAGTATAGCAAACGAAGTGGTTTTTTTAAAACAATCGTTCACACAATTTGCAAAGCACCGTAAATTTGTTTTTTACTTTCCCTAACATTGGAAAATGAAATTCGAGGTTACTTTTACATCCTGTCCAGAAATCTTATCATAAACAATTAATAAATAAATACTGATTACAGTCTCAGAATGTATCAAGTTTTTGAAGATGCATATTCTTTCAAAGAAGAATAAATCTTCTTTTAAATCGTATTTTTAAATCGTTAATTTAATAACCAGTGTCATTCTCCGCCATTGGAGTCAGCGACCGCCATTTTGCTGCACGATCTTCCCGCCAGAGGTCGTTGCAATCAAACAGAATTAAATTAACGCGTAAAAACACTGTACACGTTCGTGAAAATGGTTTCAATTGCATCCATTGGATAAATTATAACGTAAATTTATCGTTAAATAGTAGAAGAATTCATTTGCATCTTTGTTGTCGTAGCCATTGAGGATGAGATTCCTAAATAATTCCTAACCCAGACCTTAACACTAATAAATAGTTTAGATAAAGAAATTCGATAAACTTTGTTAAACACTGACAATAAAGCTCGAATCAAAGTAGATTTTCGGGAGGAACGTAAGAAAACTTCAATTTGAAATTCAATGAGACGGAATTGCGTTACTAAATCGTTTTTAATTCAAAGATAATCGATTGTTTTGGCCTCTTGAGTAAGACTTTGAGAACCCGGACGCCATTGTCTCGTCCCAACCATGTCCCAACCTAATTCTCTTAATCTCGTCTGAAAGTGCAATTATCGATTGCGTCGCGAAATGCAAATTCTGCTACCTTGGAAAACAATGGACACACGGTATTTCGATTTCGTTCTGTTCGGGATTGTTCGTGAATCTGATTGAATCGGGCATTACGTTGGATTTTTCCAGTTAATTCAATATTCGTGGCTCGTAAGTTCCGACAACGTCTGCGCTTTGTTCGAGCACGCAATGCAGTGCAATCGCTAATCGCGAAAATTTTGCAAGTTAATGTAGTCGATTCACTTTCCTCAGGAAACAGGGTTTAAATTTTCAATTGTATTGTTTTTGATAATTTTATTCCACGTTTCAAGGTTTATAGAATATTTTATTTCTGCACGAACTTGATATCTTCTTGTGAGTTTTAACATACATTTCAAATTTTTAACTTCATGAAATAACCAATGAAAAATCTGTATAAATTTTAAGTTGTATTTTTTTTTGATAATTTTATTCCACGTTCGAAAATTGATAAAATATATGATTTCTGCGCGAACTTGATATCGTCTTGTGAGTTTCAAATAGTACAACACACATTTCATATTTTTAATTCCATAAAATAACCAATGAAAAATCTATGTAAATTTTAACTTGTATTTTCTTTTGATAATTTTATTCCACGTTTCAAGGTTTATAAAATATTTGATTTCTGCACGAACTTGATATCTTCTTGTGAGTTTTAACATACATTTCATATTTTTAACTTCATGAAATAACCAATGAAAAATCTGTGTAAATTTCAAGTTGTATTTTTTTTTGATAATTTTATTCCACGTTCGAAAATTGATAAAATATATGATTTCTGCGCGAACTTGATATCGTCTTGTGAGTTTCAAATAGTACAACACACATTTCATATTTTTAATTCCATAAAATAACCAATGAAAAATCTATGTAAATTTTAACTTGTATTTTCTTTTGATAATTTTATTCCACGTTTCAAGGTTTATAAAATATTTGATTTCTGCACGAACTTGATATCTTCTTGTGAGTTTTAACATACATTTCATATTTTTAACTTCATGAAATAACCAATGAAAAATCTGTGTAAATTTCAAGTTGTATTTTTTTTTGATAATTTTATTCCACGTTCGAAAATTGATAAAATATATGATTTCTGCGCGAACTTGATATCGTCTTGTGAGTTTCAAATAGTACAACACACATTTCATATTTTTAATTCCATAAAATAACCAATGAAAAATCTATGTAAATTTTAACTTGTATTTTCTTTTGATAATTTTATTCCACGTTTCAAGGTTTATAAAATATTTGATTTCTGCACGAACTTGATATCTTCTTGTGAGTTTTAACATACATTTCATATTTTTAACTTCATGAAATAACCAATGAAAAATCTGTGTAAATTTCAAGTTGTATTTTTTTTTGATAATTTTATTCCACGTTCCAAAATTGATAAAATATATGATTTCTGCACGAACTTGATATCGTCTTGTGAGTTTCAACACACATTTTATATTTTTAACTCCATAAAATAACCAATGAAAAATTGTATTTTTTTTTATCATTTTTCCAAAATTGATAGAATATTTGATTTCTGCGTGAACTTGATATCGTCCTGTGTGTTTTAAATAGTACCGCGCAGGTTTCCTGTAATATTTTTAAACTGCATAAAATAACCAATTAAAAATAAACCCGAGGAAAGCGTTTTATTAATAAATGCTGGAAGTCTCTTCGTTTTGCCATCGTGTCACACTGCCCTTGAATTATTATTTAACATTATTAAACACCATCGTTGAATAATCATCGTTCATCGAGTTACGTGCACTGCGTTGCACCGAAATGCAGCGGCGAGCGTGCGCCAGAAACCGATAAGACACCGATAAAGCAGTTAGTGTTGAACTTCCCGCCTGGTAGCGTCTGTTATTACGCCATTCTTGCGGTCTTGGCGAACCAAAAACATACTCGTTCAAATTTATTACATGGCAAGTGGCTCATATCCCTGAAAACCGTGAAAATATTAATCCTATCCGAATAAATGGAAATGCTACGATAAAAGAAAAGTAGAAAGCAAAAAGAAGGAACTTAAGGAAGCATTAAGTATTAAAGAAACGTGTCCAAAATATATTTCCCTCTTAATTTTTATTTTACAATTTAACTATCGACGGCTGTGAAAATTGCGAACACGATCGTGATCAAGTGTTCTCGAAACCAAACGTTTATGAACAATTAAACGAGCACTGCGCGGACGATGAATCTGCAAATGAATCACGATGCTGACGAAATCGTTTTTAGCCTCGTTATCGAGGCATTATTCACAATTGAAAAGCTCGAGAGCGCTCGGTTGCTAGTTTCATTGTGGCAAGTCTCGAGAAAATTATCCTGAAACATATTCTGAGAGGAGAAGATCAGACGTAAACATGGAGAACGAAAGTTAGCGTCGGAAACGATTACTGTATCCAGAGTAGTGCAGGATAGTTGCTAGTGGAACTATTATAAAATTGTGCAGAATATAGTTTACAGAAATTACAAAAACACAATCGTGACGCGAACTATAAAATAGTATATTAGAAGACTGTTTTTCCCAAGTAGAAGTTCGTTACCGCGGAATAATTTTAAATACTCGATGTTGACGATGACACGACGAAGTGCAAATTCTTTTAGAGTTTTCGATTAGAGGAATTTGAAAAATACTATGGTCTGAAAAGAAAGGCGAAGAGTTACGTTAAGTGCAAAATTCATCCGTTTACTTGGCACGATTTTGATGAATGTGTATTTAATGTTTGCAGGAACAATGTTGACCGACTGCAAGGAGCTACCCTCCCTGAAACTCGGCGGCTTCGTCCTCGAGATAGAGTTCAATTCGCCTAGCCCGGAGCTGCAGGAAGTCGCGAAAAGGGAGCTTCGTGAGACACCGGAGGTCAAAAGCCAGGCCGTTGCTCAGTTCAAGGAATTATTAAAAGGTAAACAATAAAATCAACAAATCAACCAGAAAAAAAATAATTGCAAATCGTTATAAAAAAATTATTTTTAAATGCAGGGGTCAATTTCAATTATATTTGGTGAATAGACATACCCTCGAATTCCTGTCCAGTTTCGAGAAAAAAATTCACTAAGTGGACAAAATTTACGACGAAATTAAAAAATTTCCAGTCCTTATAAAAAAATTATTTTTAACTTTGGGGTTCAATTACAATCATATTTGGTGAATAGACATACCCTCGAATTCCTGCCCAGTTTCGAGAAAAAAATTCACCAAGTGGACAAATTTTGCGACAAAATTGAAAAATTTCGAATCGTTTTAAAAAAATTATTTTTAGTTGTGGGGGTCGATTGCAATCAGTTTTGGTGAATAGACATACCATCGAATTCGTACGCGTTTTCAAGAAAAAAATTCAATAAGGGGCCAAATTTTTCAGCAAAATTAAAGAATTTCAAATCGTTTTAAAAAAATTATTTTTAAATGCAGGGGTCAATTTCAATTATATTTGGTGAATATACATACCCTCGAATTCCTGTCCAGTTTCGAGAAAAAAATTCACCAAGTGAAAAATTTCAAATCGTATTAAAAAAATTATTTTTAGTTTTGGGGGTTAATTACAATCATTTTAGGTGAATATACATACCCTCGAATTCCTACGCGTTTTCAAGAAAAAAATTCACGAAGTGGACAAATTTTTCGGCGAGATTGAAAAATTTCAAATCGTCTTAAAAAAATTATTTTTGCCTAGAGGGGTTAATTGCAATCATATTTGGTGAATAGACATACCCTCGAATTCCTGCCCAGTTTCGAGAAAAAAAATTCACAAAGTGGACCAATTTTTCGGCGAAATTGAAAAATGTCAAATCCTTATAAAAAAATTATATTTAACTGCAGGGGTCAATTACAATAATATTTGATGAATAGACATACCCTCGAATTCCTACGCGTTTTCAAGAAAAAAATTCAATAAGTGGACGAATTTTTCGGAGAAATTAAAAAATTTCAAATCCTTGTAAAAAAATTATTTTTGCCTAGAGGGGTTAATTACAATCACATTTGGTGAATAGACAAACCCCCGAAATCTTAGGCATTATCGAGAAAAAAATTCATTACCGAAAATATAATGTATATCGTGTTCATTTCTTCATTGAAATGCTTTTGATGCCTCATTTGCAGCGGAGACAGACCTAAAGGTGCCATTAGACAACGAGGCCTGGTTGGTACGGTTCCTCAGGCCGTGCAAGTACTACCCAGATTCCGCGCTGAAGCTCGTGAAGAACTATTACAGCTTCAAAGTGAAGCACGCGAACGTTTACGATGGTTTGAAGCCCAGCCACGAGAAGAACATATTCGAGCAGAATATTTTGACAGTGCTGCCCAACAGGGACCAGCATGGACGAAGGGTGCTGATCATGGAGCTGGGAAAGAAGTGGAAGCACACCAAGTGCAACCTGGACGAAGTGTTCAAGGGATGCGTTCTGTACTTGGAGGCCGCCATGTTGGAACCAAGCACTCAGATCGCCGGTGCTGTGGTGGTCTTCGACATGGACGGGCTCAGTCTTCAACAGACTTTTCAGTTCACTCCACCGTTTGCCAAAAGGATAGTCGACTGGCTGCAGGACTCGATGCCCCTCAGGGTCAAGAACATTCACATCATCAATCAGCCGTACGTCTTCAACATGGTGTTCCAGTTGTTCAAACCGTTCCTCAGAGAGAAACTCAAGAGCAGAGTGAGTTGATCTTCCTTAAATCTACGCTGGTTATTATTTGTCAGACACTTTGATTAATACAACCTGGATGGTTGCATGGAAATAGGCTTCATCTTCAATAGTTATGGCGATACGCAAATAGTAACTATTCTTTCTCGTGTCACGGTTGGAGTATTTATAATAGAGCTTCCAATAATTTTGTTTTTAGTCTATCGTAAGCCTGGAAAGTGAAATCTTATGTTTGTAATTTCTTGTTTTCAGATCGTATTCCATGGAAAAGATTACAAGTCGTTGCACGAATACATGTCGCCCAAGTGTTTGCCGGAATGTTACGGTGGCACCCTGAAGATTCCAAGAGTGACGGGGCCACAGTGGTTGGAATTGTTGCTGAAGTGCGACGAGGAATTCGATGGTACGCAAAAAGAACGTGCAAACAACGTATCGAGCTATTCCGACGTAAAAGAAGAACGTACTCGATCGACGAACGTGCATTTCGTGGGCCAATTCTGCGCCATTTTGTTACGTCTCGTTGACACGAATAAAACAATGATTCCTCGCATACTCGAGATCAGTAATTTCTAATAACAGTTACAATTGCTCTTCGAAATCAGAATCAACGACGAACAAACCTTCCCTAAACAATTTCATAGTTAATAATATTAGTCCAGATGCACATTGTTTGTATAAACATTTTTGCTATTGAGATCAAATTTATACAATTCTTATGCCTATTTGAAAGTATAGTTATTAGAAAATTAATCGTTTTCTTACTTTCTTAAATTAATTCGAGCAATGATAATAATTATTTCTTTTCTTTCTCTTTCCAGCGATCAACTCTTACGGTTACAAGAAGCAGTAATTTGTTCTCCGCGACATTCCTCCAGAAAAAGGACAAAGAGGAGCAACTATTTGAAAAAAATCGAAAATCGAGAGACAGGAACGATTTTCGAGCAACGAGGACGGTTGTGGGTTCATCGATCGTTACGCCAAATAAAATTCGGCGCTCGACTCGGTTAATTATCTAATGAATTATATATTTCCCTTCGTGGTCCTCTATCCAGTTATCTCATAGGAATCGCGTCTTCACGAAGAAACGATGAATAAGAAGCAACAGGTTTGCTGGCGCTGTACACTCGCTTACGTTTCGTATTATCACGAAAAGAGAATAGATATTTATGTAGATTAAACGCAATTTTATATGGAAAACTGAATTGTCGATAGGTATGTATTCGTATTATTATAGTTCATCGAACGAGTAACTTTAGTGAAAATGAAATTAGTTTAAGCAACGAAACGCGGTTCGTTTAACGGTGGTGAAACTGTTGAATCGTCGACTTACCTTTTGGATTCGATCGATTTAGAATCCCGCGAGGCTTTGAAAGTCTCGCGGGTTAAAATTGTTTGTCGTTTGGAAAACTTGTTCCTTAGACGACGAGGGATTTGCTAGAATTTGTTGTTATATTTTTTTCGTAATAAAATATTTGCAAAAACAAGTATGGTTAAACGTCGATGGTTGCATGAAAATAAGTCCCACGCTGTTGACAATATAGGAGGGATAATCGTTCGGTATTTGATCGGTAAGTATCTGCAACGATCGGTGATACTAAAACAGCAACTAATAGAGTTTCCATCGAACCGAATAACAATACCTCTAAAATTCATTGCAAAACTTTCCCTTTATTGCACGTTACGTGACTCTAATATCTCGTTTATCGATAACAAAAATAATTACATCTAGCTCTTTAACTTATTTCTTAATTACTCCGACCGGAAACACTAAACTCTTTCGCTTTACACCTTCACTGTAACCATGAAATCGGAACTAAATAATCCACCTTCTTTTAAATCTTAATCTTAGATCGCGGGGATTTGGATCCGGTGTTCACGGTCCATTAGGCTAACGAATAGATGCCGATTCCTCATTATTTCACGCTCCTCTTGAACCCGTACATATTGGAAGCTGCGAAAAGAAATAAAAAGTAATCAGAAACAAAGTAACAAAGAATGTAGGATACTTTTTTCAGAGTTCTTTAGAATTGTTCACGCAAACATAAACTAAAAGTCCCTTGGCACGTTTCAATCCGACGCTTCGTTATCGAGATATACGCGGTCGAAATCTCGAGGTGGAACTCCAGCGCCATCTTTAAATTCGCCCAGGATAGGACTTAAATTACGCGCGCCAAAACTGACGTGCTACATAAAACCATTCGTATTTCAGCAACAAAGTTATAACGAACAAAATATTAAGAGACCTTTTTAATTGATATTTGCATCGATGATTGATGTACGTATATTTTAAGTTACGGGTTATTTTTTAAGTGAAGTATTTGCAAGACGTTTTCACGGTTCTCGAAGGAAACCTCGAACTTGTTCGCGAAGCATGGATTCTCCCGCGTACGTTAATTAACCTCTCTGACGTAATTGGAGGACGAAGTTGCACGGCCGCCACGATCAGCGTTTTTCTTCCCGTCCATCGAGGAAAATTATACGCAACACGGTTACGCAACGAAATGATAATGGCACCATCGTAACGACGCCGAGTAATTACGCAAAGCACGAGTTGTAGGCGCGACGATCGCCTTCAAATAGAGGGTGGGAGGGGGGGGCAGATTGTTCGTTGGGGCACAGTTGAGCGAACCCTTTCAAGAAAATTAAACGATCGCGTGTAGCAGCGAAGAATTCTTGTCAATATTAGAACTGTAGCATCTGAAATGTCCTTTAGCAAATACTGTCCCTAGAGACGTATTATTGCCATATATAGGGTGCTCAAAAGTAAATGTCACGTGACAAAATTCGATTATTTTTACTATTGTTATTTTATAATCGGTAATATAGGAATTTTTTAAAAATTATGGAGTAAAAAATTAACTTACCTTCAAAGTCTTTCTCGAACCAGCAGAAGTAGTCGCAAATACCTTGGCCAATCGGTACATTTGGCAACTCCAGATCTCCACCCAACTCTGTGGGAACAGGTTTCTTACCCAGGCGAGAAATCAACGCTGCTCTGTCCGTGCCGTGGAAGTGAATCCTCTTACGCGTTTTCTCCTACAAAGTTTCCAAATTCCAAATTTTCAATGTTACTATTACCTTCTCAATAGAGAGATCTGGTTCGCGTAACTAGCACACGGAATGTACAATTAACAGAACTAATTAGTGTATTTAGACGGCTACTTTCACCTTGCTTCGCGATCAAAAACGTAGCGTGCAAAGTATTACAACAATTAGAGGACATGAATTATTTGTAATTATTATTTTTCTAATTAAATATTGCCCTATTTTTATGCCATTCTCCCGGTATCTACTCACTTTTGTATTCGTGATTTTGTTATTTTATAAAATTTATAGGTTAGGTATTTTTTAATTTAAAAAATTTGTTAACAGTGTTTTAAAATATTTAGGAAAGCCTACCAGAAGGAAAGGTTTGAAAATAGCGAAGACCATGTTGAATATGAAGGGTTGATTCACTATGTGGATGCCCTTCAGACGACAGGGTAAACATCTTTGCACCCAATCGGCGACCATCGCGGCGAAACTCGGGGTAAACTGGGCGACGTGGGACAACGAGAAGCCATCCATGTTAAATATTACGTGCACACCCGCGATCTGAAACGAATAACGCATCAAACGCTATACTCTGCGCGTGAAAACAGTTTCACAATTGATAAATCCAAAATTACAAATTTAGCATATCTTCATGCCAGTATCGAAAATGGATTGGCGAGGTTCTCCCGATTAAAATGAGTCCAAACACGACAGTGTTCGGACCACTTTTATTTTTAAACATTTTTCAAAAATGATTTCGAAAATAATCGAAAGTAGTCCGAACAAGGCCGTGTTTGGACTCGTTTTAATCGGGAGAAGTTCAAGAATACATTGGTAATACTCTCCTGAAGATACCAAGAGAAATTAAACAATTTTGAAAATTAAATTTTGAATTTTTGATTTACTTTTTACAGACCTGTGTTCTCGGTTCGGACATGGCGGCGTCCAGAGCCAGCATGACCGACCGGAATATATCGTCGATGCTGATGACCTTCGTGTTCCATTTTCTTCCAGTGTGAACCAAAAGTATCCTGCAACCTTCCGATGTGCGTTCTGGCAATGGTATTAAAATTCCAGAGGACAATGTCTTTTTCTCCGTACTCGGCAACAGATTTTCGCAGTGACGTGGATGGTTCAATTTGAAATTATAAAACCTCTTCATCTGTCGAGTGCAAAGAAAAGGTGTCAGAATAAACATTTCGAGAGACACTCTGAAACGTTTCTCACAAGTTGAAAAAAATGTATATTTTTATTTGACAAATATGCACTCACCAGCTCGAAGCTACTCTTTGGATACCACTTGCAAGGTCGCATAAATTTTTGGAAAAATTCAGCATCGTCCGGGAGGATCAGATCAGGCTCACCTGAGGATGAGAAACAGGAAGGTCTAAAGTACGCGTTTATTCGCGTGAGAGGAACGAACGACAAACAGTGTAATTTCGAACGACGAGGCGTGTAATTCGATAGCAACTGCAAATTATTGCGCATAATCGGTCGCGGGTAGCAACGAAGCCCGTTTCCATAAAATAAATATTCCACGTTCCAAATAAAATTGAATCATCGTCGAGTTTTGCAAACGACAATGTTAAATCATACAGGAAACATTACATTTCTGGACGAGAGAAATTGAATGAAACGACTTTCGACATCGCGTGGAGATCACCTGAGAAAATGGCCTTAAAGTGCATAATTTTTATGGGCTGGTACCTGTTTGTTCAACTCAAGGGAGTTTGCGAGCAAGTGAAACTTTCATTTTCAACCGACCGGTTCCGTGCATGAAAGAGAATTCGTATATGTCGTGTTGCATCGAAACAGCGCGAAATGTTCGCTAGAAAAAAATATTTATTTATCCGTTAGGAGAGTCGAACGAAATTATCAAAAAAAAAAAATACAAAATTCATTTTTGTGCTATTTATTTGCCTACATCGTCGTTTAAATAAACGAAATATAATCGAAAAATCGAGAACTCGGGCGAAATGATAAATAAATCGATCTCCATTAAAATGCAGGGGGGAAAACCGTTCGAGGTTGACCCCTGATCGCTACGATTCAATTTACACTCGTGTATCGACGAATTGCAATTATGCTCCGCGACCGGGCAATTAAATCACCAAACCGCCAGGAATTATAAACTAATTTGCGCCTCTGAGGTTTCCCGTCGTGCAAATCGCATTTCGTTTAACATCTCTCGCCCCGAACCATTAAATAAAGTCTTTCTCTTCAGGACTCGGTAAAATTTCACTAATAAAAGGATGTATCAAAATTTTTCTGAGGTGAATTTTCACCTATGGTACACATTAAGGGTTGAGAATAAAAAAATGATTGGAAGCGTCATTTTATATGGCGGATAACAGAGAAGTTACTTCAATAATACTGCGTGGCGAAGCTTCCCGCGCTCGCCAGCAGAGGGCCACGCTCGTCTTAACGTTCTCACAAGTGCTCGAGCTATTCGAATATATGCACTCTTTCCAGAGTATTAAATGTATTAAATAATCTTCAAATTAAAAATATAATTCTTAATAACGAGCCTACGCGATTAAAAATGTAAAATAAAAATCCTCGAGCATCAAATGCTCGCCAGCAGAGGGCCACGCTCGTCTTGACTTTCCCACAAGCGCTCAAGCTATTCCAATATACACACTCCTCATCAGAGTATTAAATGCATTAAAAATATCTAAAGAATTATTCTTAATAACAACCCTACGCGATTAAAAATGTAAAATAAAAATCCTCGAGCATCAAATGCTCGCCAGCAGAGGGCCACGCTCGTCTTGACTTTCCCAACAAGCGTTCGAGCTATTCCAATATACACACTCTTCGTCAGAGTATCGAATGCATTAAAAATATCTAAAGAATTATTCTTAATAACGAACTTACGCGATTAAAAATGTAAAATAAAAATCCTCGAGCATCAAATGCTCGCCAGCAGAGGGCCACGCTCGTCTTGACTTTCCCACAAGCGCTCATGCTATTCCAATATACACACTCTTCGTCAGAGTATCAAATGCATTAAAAATATCTAAAGAATTATTCTTAATAACGAACCTACGCGATTAAAAATGTAAAATAAAAATCCTCGAACATCAAATGCTCGCCAGCAGAGGGCCACGCTCGTCTTGACTTTCCCACAAGCGCTCGAGCTACTCCAATATACACACTCCTCATCAGAGTATTAAATGCATTACAAAATATCTAAAACACTATTCTTAATAACGCATCTACGCGATTAAAAATGTAAAATAAAAATGCTCGAACATCAAATGACCCAACTATTTCTTTCAGATTCCCGCACCATTGGTTACAGGACATCTTCGAGTTACTCATCGCGTTGCAATCGTGGTCTCACGTTTGAAAGTAAGTTGCAATGGAGGTGAGTTACCTTTGAGCAGCGCCCTGATGTCCTTCAAGGCCTGTTGAACAACCTCTGGCGTCTCCCTCAGCTCCTTTCTGGCCTTCTCGCTGTAGTGCTCGTCCCCGTCGTCGAACTGGACGGTGAGGAGGAAGTTGTCCACCTTGAATTGAGGCACCTCCCTCAGCTTGGTGATCGTCCCGTCGTCCTGGCCAGCTTGTTGCCGTTCCATGGCGGAGAAACCGTTCGTGTAGCCGGTCCTCTGTCTGCCAGGAAGGACTTCTATCTGTCGGACATACATCGTTGAGCTTCCTGTCCGGTCAACCGCCGCTAGATAAGAAGATGGCGCCCCCTTTTCCGTTCCACTTCGTGTTCCTTCTCCCTCGTGTCTCTGTTTGTTTTAATGTGGCTCTGGTGGAGGCTGTTTCGTGTGCGGTGTTTTTCAAGTAGTGACGGTGGCTGTTGTTTCTTTGGTATAATCGTGTGTTGTTGTTGTTGTGTCCCCAAAATCGACCTGACTACAATCGTTCAGAGGTTACAAAAATATTAAGAGATTGGGACACGATGCAGTTTGGGGTTTACAAACGAGTCGCTGCTGTTTCGCGGCCTACGCGACTCTGCTACGATCACACGGCCATTTTGGCGAATCGATAACGACCACCGCGAGCAACCTTCGCGCCATTTTGCATTTTCCTCGGCTTTCGTATTCACGATATGGTAAATCGACCACTCGCTGAATCGATTGTTTTCGTTTTCGCGGCAAATCATGGGATTATGCGCATACATTTCTCTGGGAAATAATATTTAAGAGTTTCGTAACCTCGAGCGTGTGGAATCTAGATCGAGGGGGTTCCAGGATAGATTTTATTTTTTATTTCAGAACTTAGATTTTCTCGTAAATGGGTGGAAAAGACAACTTTCGCCTAGGAATCGAAGATGCTCGTCGCGATGTGGAGAAAGCGAGATTTTCGATCGTCGAAAATTGGAAAAATGGAATTTTCTTAAATTGAATCGTTCTCTGTTCCACTGGAGCGATGAATCTCGCGTTTAGTTCGCTGTTTAACATTAACATTGGCTAATATTAATAAAGCGAGATTTTCAATCATCGAAAATTGGAAAAATGGAATTTTCTTAAATTGAATCGTTCTCTGTTCCACTGGAGCGACGAATCTCGAGTTTAGTTCGCTGTTTAACATTGACATTGGCTAATATTAATAAAGCGAGATTTTCGATCGTCGAAAATTGGAAAAATGGAATTTTCTTAAATTGATCCGTTCTCTGTTCTTCTGGAGCGACGAATCTCGAGTTTAGTTCGCTGTTTAACATTAACATTGGCTAATATTAATAAAGCGAGATTTTCAATCATCGAAAATTGGAAAAATGGAATTTTCTTAAATTGAACTGCTCTCTGTTCCACTGGAGCGACGAATCTCGAGTTTAGTTCGCTGTTTAACATTGACATTGGCTAATATTAATAAAGCGAGATTTTCGATCGTCGAAAATTGGAAAAATGGAATTTTCTTAAATTGAATCGTTCTCTGTTCCACTGCAGCGATGAATCTCGAGTTTAGTTCGCTGTTTAACATTGACATTGGCTAATATTTGCAATGACTAACGCCGAAGCTCGGAGATTCTCGAGGGAAAAAATATTTCCAAGGACGCAGGCGTCGGATCGCGTTCGATCGCAACGCGAGACCGAAAATCGAACAAAGTCGTGCAAAGTACGATTCTATGAAACGTCTATTTATGTTCCGTGTGTAACATCCTAATCCAGCAGCTCCCTGTACGATAAGATAATTAAACAGTGGACGTCTACTAATGACCGTTTGCAACCAGTCGTTCCGAACTGGCCCAGCTGCAGAGTTTAATTCTTATCTGCAATATAGTTCGCGTTTATTGAAATGCACGAAACGTTTTATCGTGTGTCGAGTATCAACAAAAATAGACCGAATTGAGTTGAATTTTTTTTTTTTAATGAATTACGTGTAATTTAATGTGAACTGAATCATAGGTTGATTCAGACCACTTATCATGCGTTTTTTGTTCTGTTTTTTAAATAGTCTTTGCAAATTCTCGTTAGATTCTTATATTTAATAAATACTTTATAGATTCTTATTCTTATGCAGTGATTACATATGTACGCATGCAGATATAGCGAGAGAAATTGCTTTCTAAACGGCATTCGATGCTGTTACGTCTATTTTAAATTAACTCCAACGCAAATGCTGGGCTGTTTATACTTGGAAGTATTGAGTAACGTAAATATTTTGTTACGAAACATCTATCCGGATTCTCTTAGAAAGCAAACTTACTGCGATCTATTTGAAAATGAAATCGATAAAAAAGAAACTTGATAAGAAAGTTCGTGTTGTTGTTTAGACAACTTATATTTGTGATGGCTAAACTTGACACTTTGGTCTCAGTTGTTATGGTCTTCAGGGTAATGTTTGTGGTGTTAAATATGTGTCAGAATAATATTTTTTTTTTTTTAAATTATGTAATAATTTACATTATGGAAGATCTTGAAGGCCTCTATAAATTATCTAATAACAAAAGCAATGATCGAGACAATACTGGTGAATCGTTTAGAAATATTTTCGAAAATAAATACCAAGTTTCTCGAAACGTTAGAAGTTTTATTATGTAAAGTATAGAAAAGGTACATTATGTTAAAAATAATTTCGTTCATCGAACGTCGTTAAAATTTGCAAAATTGAATAGTATGGAGATACGTAAAATAAAATACAAATTTATATGGTCGATACTATATTTAAAAGTACATCTTACGGTCCAATGTTAAAACAGCGGGACATTTGAAACCTTCAATCAGAGTCGGCTATAAAAAGATACTAACATCGAGCCAGGAAATTGCTCGTTCGACAGTTTTCGATACATTCAAGAGCATGCAGACTCCGAACGTTTCAAGATGTTATTTGAAATTGCAAGTTTCCAAAAATCTCAAACAATTGGAAAAAATTTAACGCAAAAAAATTTCTGAAAATTCTGGAAAATCTTCGAACTTCTAAAGAACCTTAAAAATAGAATAATTTATTATTTTTCTGTGATTTTTGAAGTCGATTTGAAACAATCATAGAATTACTTTTTTTTCAATAACATTTATTGTTCAATTCATTGTTATTTTTATCAAATGTTTCAAGATGTTATTTGAAATTGCAAGTTTCCAAAAATCTCAAACAATTGGAAAAAATTTAACGCAAAAAAATTTCTGAAAATTCTGGAAAATCTTCGAACTTCTAAAGAACCTCAAAAATAGAATAATTAATTATTTTTCTGTGATTTTTGAAGTCGATTTGAAACAATCATAGAATTACTTTTTTTCAATAACATTTATTGTTCAATTCATTGTTATTTTTATCAAATGTTTCAAGATGTTATTTGAAATTGCAAGTTTCCAAAAATCTCAAACAATTGGAAAAAATTAACCACAGAAAATTTCTGAAAATTCTGGAAAATCTTCGAACTTCTAAAGAACCTCGAAAATAGAATAATTAATTACATTTCTGTGATTTTTGAAGTCGATTTGAAACAATCATAGAATTACTTTTTTTCAATAACATTTATTGTTCAATTCATTTTTATTTTTATCAAATGTTTCAAGATGTTATTTGAAATTGCAAGTTTCCAAAAATCTCAAACAATTGGAAAAAATTAACCACAGAAAATTTCTGAAAATTCTGGAAAATCTTCGAACTTCTAAAGAACCTCGAAAATAGAATAATTAATTATTTTTCTGTGATTTTTGAAGTCGATTTGAAACAATCATAGAATTACTTTCTTTCCAATAACACTTATTGTTCAATTCATTTTTATTTTAATCAAATGTTTCAAGATGTTATTTGAAATTGCAAGTTTCCAAAAATCTCAAACAATTGGAAAAAATTTAACGCAAAAAAATTTCTGAAAATTCTGGAAAATCTTCGAACTTCTAAAGAACCTTAAAAATAGAATAATTTATTATTTTTCTGTGATTTTTGAAGTCCATTTGAAACAATCATAGAATTACTTTCTTTCCAATAACATTTATTGTTCAATTCATTTTTATTTTTATCAAATGTTTCAAGATGTTATTTGAAATTGCAAGTTTCCAAAAATCTCAAACAATCGGGAAAATTAAAAAATTTACCACAGAAAAATTTCTGAAAATTCTGGAAAATCTTCAAACTTTTAAAAAACCTCGAAAATAGAATAATTAATTATTTTTCTGTGATTTTTGAAGTCGATTTGAAACAATCATAGAATTACTTTCTTTCCAATAACACTTATTGTTCAATTCATTTTTATTTTAATCAAATGTTTCAAGATGTTATTTGAAATTGCAAGTTTCCAAAAATCTCAAACAATTGGAAAAAATTTAACGCAAAAAAATTTCTGAAAATTCTGGAAAATCTTCGAACTTCTAAAGAACCTTAAAAATAGAATAATTTATTATTTTTCTGTGATTTTTGAAGTCCATTTGAAACAATCATAGAATTACTTTCTTTCCAATAACATTTATTGTTCAATTCATTTTTATTTTTATCAAATGTTTCAAGATGTTATTTGAAATTGCAAATTTCCAAAAATCTCAAACAATCGGGAAAATTAAAAAATTTACCACAGAAAAATTTCTGAAAATTCTGGAAAATCTTCAAACTTTTAAAAAACCTCGAAAATAGAATAATTAATTATTTTTCTGTGATTTTTGAAGTCGATTTGAAACAATCATAGAATTACTTTCTTTCCAATAACAGTTATTGTTCAATTCATTTCTATTTTTATCCATAAAATATTTATTCAAGTGTTCTAAAATACTTCAATTTTTACTTATATTTTTATATTTAAAATCGACACGTTTCAATGTTAATTACTGGGTCTATTAAATAACTGCACCATTATTATTGTATCATTTATCAACATCAACGGAAGATAACCTTTGGAATACATTGCAAAAATTATTCATTAAAAATCGTTATCGGAAACATTTGAATTACTCATTGCAATGATTGAATACATATTTATATCTAAGAGAGAGTTGCCTAATGCGCATTGTTCGACTAAATTACGACTCTTCGATGTCTGAGGATCCTAATGTTGACGTTTTTATAACGGTGGATTTAAAATCTATAATTTTGATTCTCAAATCATGCGCGATAATGACCTATCATTGTTTCCTTTTAAAAAAAAACTGATCTCGCTTCCGCGTAAAACACGATCACATAACACTGATTTATGCAATGCACGAAAATACGTTATTTAACACGTACTTGTAAAATATTTTTCAACCAACATAAATAAATGTTACATAATCGTTAATATATAGTTCCTATTCCGTTTACACCTCGATTACGGGGAACCTGTTGCTCCAAATCATGCTATACAACATTAAAATCGCAAGGAAAAGGAAATTAATTTGCAAAGAAATCACTCGTTTCTGATTTTTAAAAAACGAGCCTATCGCGAGATTATCATAAAATAGCATACAATATTAGAAAACACAAGGAAAAGGAAATTAATTTGCAAAGAAATCAATCGTTTCTGATTTTAAAAAAACGAGCCTATCGCGAGATTATCATAAAATAGCATACAATATTAAAAAAAAAAAAAAGAAAACACAAGGAAAAGGAAATTAATTTGCAAAGAAATCAATCGTTTCTGATTTTAAAAAACGAGCCTATCGCGAGATTATCATAAAATGGTAGATTATTAACTTCGAGGATTTGTTTACAACCGCGTTCGATCGATACCTCAAGACGATAAGATAATTAATCGCCCCGAGGTTCTCAATCCCGGTTCACCGTGGAGTTTCGACTGTTAAAACGGGTTCGAAGAGTTCGTGGATCCCTCGAGAGGAGTTCCAAGACTTCCCGAAGGCTCTCGAGAGCTCCTCGAGCCCGTCGCTGAGCCACATCCGCGGGAACCGTGTTCCTCGGACGTGGAAAATGGATAGAAGAGAATCGACGGTGGCTCGTACCTGAGAGAACGTTCGTTCTGGTAGGAAGTTAACGGTACCGGAGTCACCACCGGTGCTTTAACTCGGCCCTCTTCGTGTTCGTCGGCTCGTGGTGGGGTTGGACGTCTCACAGGGTCCTGGACGCTCGTCTCGCGCGGCTGGATCTCATTTCGCGGTGTCCGGAGGCGTGAAAATTCGCGATCGACGCGTTAAGGGTACCGCCAGGCGTTATCGATCACCGTGGTCTCGGCGTGGACGACGGGGGGATTGAAACGCAACGGAGGGAAAGAGGCACGGACGCGTTCTCGAGGAAAGGAACCAGCGTGGTCGGGACACCGGTGAAGACTGCCCCGTGCCGTGGCTCGGTGTGTCAGAAATCGGCTGGAAAGCGAGAACCGTCTCTCCCACCTTCGGCGTTGCTCGTGACAGTGGGAACACACGCGGAAGGTTAACCTTTATCGCGGCTAGAGACAATTAAATCTGAAACAGACCGCTTTACGCCGAATGTCCGAACGTTACGATCGACCTCGTGACCCCGTTTTGCATTCTCGCGTCTCACTTTTTCCCGCCCTTCGAACGATGTCTCGGACGCGACCCGGAACCGCCATCTTTATTTCCCCCCCCCCGGGATCACCCCACATCGCGAAAACAATCGCTCGGGGAATCGTTCTGAGCGCAGTAATTCGATGGTTCGTGGTAAGTTTAGTGAGAGGAAAAGTGAAGTTTTATGTACGGGGTGTATGTTTTAAATTGGACGAGAGAAATGCGTTTGTAAGGGTTTGGTGGAAAGTTATGGGTATATGTGGTATTTTGATATGGAATACAACTTACTGGCTACTGTTACTATTATTGAAAATTACCTTTGAAATTTCTGGCAATATCAGATAGTAAACACAATTTTCGTAAATACGTTACATATTGCTGATCTAGTCGAGCCAATGTAACGGGAACTCGATTGTATTCCATATTTCTGTTCCAACATACATGATACATCATTTTTAGACAATTTTTACGTAGAGAGTTTAGAAAATAAATTACACATTTTTTAAAATCTCTGTTTGTTCATTATACAGTGCATTAAATATAATTTTTCTCGATCTCGAAACGTAAGTATGAGAACATCTTTGTCAAAACGAGTGGAATCGAAAGTGAAAATTGCTCGTTGCGTGAGAGCATAATATCATAATATTTTGATAAGCAAAAATTTTTCGCTGACGTGGCTCGTACGTGACGCATTGACCCCCCCATATGACTCGATTTCCATGCATTTGTTCGATACGAGAAATAACAAATAAATATTGCACTTTCGATCGATTTCAGGAGCAATTTGGCGAATGCATTATTCAATATTCTCGAAAACATATTTACAAACGTTTCAATATTTATACACCGACGCCATCGAAAATACGCAGTATTGTTTGGAAATCAAAGTAAGATTACCTTGAAATTATACAACGTACGATTTTGGAAAAAGTTGTTGCTTCTAGGAATATTCATCCCTCGAAAAGAAATTATTTCTTTGCATTTCCAATGATCGAACAGAACCACGAAATCACGATAGACCTATTTAAGATCCATTTAAAAAAAGGAAAAGTGATTTTTCTATTCCACACGAATTTACATAATTACACATATGTTTACTAAACGTGACCGTTAACAAACCTTGTTTATTCTCAACGACAGGTCATATTATTATAGATAAACTCGGACCTCGTTGGATGTTAGACACCGTCACCACGAGATATCAACCGATTCATTTCTTTCCGAATCAAATAATTTGTTCGTTATTCGAATCATCGTTTAATTCAGTTTTTAATGAACGTGAGAGTCTCTCGCCTTTAAATGAAAATTCTCGCGATTCTTAATAAACGCGGACCTCGTTGGATGTTAGAGACAGTCACCACGAGATATCAACCAATTCATTTCTTTCCGAATCAAATAATTTGTTCGTTATTCGAATCATCGTTTAATTCAGTTTTTAATGAACGTGAGAGTCTCTCGCCTTTAAATGAAAATTCTCGCGATTCTTAATAAACGCGGACCTCGTTGGATATTAGACACCGTCACCACGAGATATCAACCGATTCGTTTCTTTCCGAATCAAATAATTTGTTCGTTATTCGAATCATCGTTTAATTCAGTTTTTAATGAACGTGAGAGTCTCTCGCCTTTAAATGAAAATTCTCGCGATTCTTAATAAACGCGGACCTCGTTGGATGTTAGAGACCGTCACCACGAGATATCAACCGATTCATTTCTTTCCGAATCAAATAATTTGTTCGTTATTCGAATCATCGTTTAATTCAGTTTTTAATGAACGTGAGAGTCTCTCGCCTTTAAATGAAAATTCTCGCGATTCTTAATAAACGCGGACCTCGTTGGATATTAGACACCGTCACCACGAGATATCAACCGATTCATTTCTTTCCGAATCAAATAATTTGTTCGTTATTCGAATCATCGTTTAATTCAGTTTTTAATGAACGTGAGAGTCTCTCGCCTTTAAATGAAAATTCTCGCGATTCTTAATAAACGCGGACCTCGTTGGATGTTAGAGACCGTCACCACGAGATATCAACCGATTCATTTCTTTCCGAATCAAATAATTTGTTCGTTATTCGAATCATCGTTTAATTCAGTTTTTAATGAACGTGAGAGTCTCTCGCCTTTAAATGAAAATTCTCGCGATTCTTAATAAACGCGGACCTCGTTGGATGTTAGAGACCGTCACCACGAGATATCAACCGATTCATTTCTTTCCGAATCAAATAATTTGTTCGTTATTCGAATCATCGTTTAATTCAGTTTTTAATTAACGTGAGAGTCTCTCGCCTTTAAATGAAAATTCTCGCGATTCTTAATAAACGCGGACCTCGTTGGATGTTAGAGACCGTCACCACGAGATATCAACCGATTCATTTCTTTCCGAATCAAATAATTTGTTCGTTATTCGAATCATCGTTTAATTCAGTTTTTAATTAACGTGAGAGTCTCTCGCCTTTAAATGAAAATTCTCGCGATTCTTAATAAACGCGGACCTCGTTGGATATTAGACACCGTCACCACGAGATATCAACCGATTCATTTCTTTCCGAATCAAATAATTTGTTCGTTATTCGAATCATCGTTTAATTCAGTTTTTAATGAACGTGAGAGTCTCTCATCTTTAAATGAAAATTCTCGCGATTCTTCGGCGTTCTGTGTTTTTTCGTTAATACGGTCGAAATTACGAGCGTCAGCAACGTGATGCAATGTTACGAATGCCACCGTTGCTGTCGCCTCTTCGTGTTTATTACGTCCTCGTTTCCTATTGTACTCCAAATCGAGCAGCAACCAGTTTGGGTCAAGTTCGAAAGTGTTCGAGCGCGTTACGTAATTTACCAGAAACTTCCGGCCAGTGGCCTCGTCTGATTTTCACGATTTCATAAACTTTACAGCGCCCCCTTCTTTTCTAGTCGTCGAATCAGGTTGTTCCGAAACTTTCGTGGCTTTGTTCGAAATTTGTAGCCCCGATATAACGAACTTGATAAATATTTCCGTCGTCTGGAATTTCATAATTTCCGTTTCCTCGTCCTCCGGCTTTCTACTTGCCGTAGTTTTAATTAAAATATTTTTATTCCGCTCTGGATGGAATTTGAAAAACTTCAACCGTAGGCGATCGTGACTCGGTTCTATGGCGCGGGAATTGTATTTTTTCGTATTAATTACGGTCGAATAAATTTCTGTCGGATGATTTGATTGTATGCAAATGCCCGCTTCATTGTCGCCGCGAATATAAGGTTGCTAAAGTCAGAAAAAAAGAGTACACAATTTTAATTTTACTATGCAGACATTTATCTTTTTAACGGTCTGACCCTGCCTTCCGGGTTATTTACCATGGAACGGAAATTAAAAAATTGATGAGTAACAAGGTAACAAGACTATTTTGCAACCTGGTATTTAAAAAAAAAAAAAGATTTATTGTCATAATCGTGCATGGATAATCGATCATCTGAAGAATATTAGCAATCATTTTGCATTCCCATAAGATTGAATTTCTACATTTCTATGTTTCTCGACGGTATAATTCCAGGAAATTAAGTTGCAGTATTTTCCTCACGCTATAAACGATTACGGCGAAATTACTATTGCGAAAGGAATAAGATGAGACGAGGAGAAAGCCTGCGAAGTACATTTCAAAGCGTGAAAGTTAAATGTCTTGAAAACTGGCTTCGTTCGCGCCATTGTTTCGGTACGTCTATTAGATTTACCAATATTTCGATTTTACTTTAAATTTCTATCTACTTTCACGCCAGAGAATTAATAAAAATTCCAAGTAAATAACAAATAACCTACTGATTCAAATTTTACACTAATAATGTGTATTTTTAATTTCGATAACATTCCGTTTAATCGTCATTTTAGTCTCCCGTTAGTTGGAGTTACGATATCTGCCCAAAAAAAGATGGCTGCCTCGACCTTATCGTCCGTCGTTAGTCCAAGAATCCACTTCAATCAGAATTCCGTCGTCCATCAGCTTTCTGGTTTCCCTTTTTCTTACCGCTTTCTATCGCATACTACTTTTACTGTTACGATTACTCTTCCCAGCGTTACCTCGTCTGCACTTTTTCACCTATTCCACTTCCTCTTACGCCATCATTTCCTGATGTTCTGCAACTTCTCCGCATATACCACTTCCCCTCATAACTCCCAGAATAGCTACAAGAAAGAGTAACAAAAATTCGAAAAAATATTTATTAAACTAATCTAAAAATCACAAGATTAAAAGAAACCCAGGTCTTTGGGAATAATCGAAATTAATAATTACAATTTTTTTCTTATTTTAGCTTCTGCGCAACTACAGCCGTGCTTTTTCGTGTCTCCGCTAGGGGCGTCAGTGGTAAAGGGTTCTACATTATCTATAAATATTCTTATACGTTTATCCATAGTTGATATCCATTATTACAATTTATAAATGCTATTCTACGCTTCGAATTCCATTCGTTTTTCAAGTAGCCGTGTCTTTTGAATACAAATGATCTAATATTGAACTATAACCTATGGAACTGGGACAGGTGTTACGTGTTAGGTGTTGGGGTAATAGAATTCAATTTCTTTTTTTCTCTGTTCCTACTATAATCTATTCCTCCGCTCGATTAGTTTCTCATATTTTACTTTCCTTCCGGATCCGTTTCCTGTTCCCTCGTCAACCTCCCTACGCCTCCCCACCAGTTTAATCCGATTTAATCTCTTCCCTGTTATCCTTGCATCGCTTCTGTTTTAAGGCAAAAGCTTGCTCTCGCGTACATACATAACTGAACTACGGATCCGATTTTTTGGGAAAACCATTTAATAGATTTTACAGAAACCTACTGTATAAAAACATATAATTAGTTACAAATTCATAAGAAACACACAACTATCATAGAATCACTTAAAGTATAATATTTTGTACAACGGATTGCAATTGCAAATGGAAGATCTTCAGGACGTTTCAAGTAACGCGTCGTTTCTCTCTCTCTCAGTCTATTGCTCCTTGCGAAATCCGTATGAATTCCACTCTGAAAAATAGCAACAATTAATGAACATGATAGTAACCAAAAATAAAATTCTCAGCGCCGAAAGCTTCGGTCACCTTTAATTTTGTTCTCGTTTTTTATCAGAGTGGGGTACCAATCAGCGCTGGTGTAATCAATTTCCGGCAGGTCGCCGCCATAATTCTTTGGCAAGTGACTCGGTGGGATGTGAGTGTGAAGGGACGCCATTTTGCTTCCGTGGAAGAACATACGCTTCTTCAGCTTTTCACGGACGAACGGCTTGAACATCTGCCAAACCATAGTGAAGAGGAACGGCTGTTTCACTATGTGGATCTGGAAAAACATTAAATCGTTATTGTTTAATAACTTGCAAAGTTTCTGCTCTATTATTTTGTTTAAAATTAGAGAAGAGAAATGTACTGTTCAGACAGTGCAAAGAGTTACACCAAAAATATAAAACAACCTATTAGTAACTTTAACAATTTATTTTTAGAAAGCATTTTTAGAAAAATCGTGTTTTTCTAGTATTTTCATCTTTGTCGAGCATTTCTATTAAGTTCCAAGGAGACTATTTAAAGCACCGTCTACATATTAAAACATGCTCGCATTTGGTTGTATAATTCCGGGAATAAAATGTGGGTAATGCGACAGATTTCGATTATCGCGAATACAATCGATGGAATCGCAACTAAAATAGGAAGGTGTTTGACAATGAACGTATTAAATCGTTACGATGCAATTATTCGCGACGTTGGATCTTCGCGTAGTTTTGTTCGAGCAGGTGAATTACATACAATTGTATAAATTAATTAGAGAACGTTATGTAAACGAATTTCACCTATGTTTTCGAACTTTGATCAAAAAAACGTTCACAAGACGGAATATTTAATTAATGCTAAGAGACGTAAATTTGTCATCGAAGAGTTTGATTAGTGTCTACGATATATTCTGAAATGTTTAACTCGTTGTGTTTCAGAAGCGTTTTTCTACGCACTTCTTTGAGACGCAGAGGCATGGCGTCCTGGATGAAGGTAAGAAGCTTCATACTGAAGGCACGCGTGAATCCCAACACTTGCTTCATGGCCAGCGCCTCGAAATCCATGATCACGACGGTTCCAAATATCTGAAAATTTTTTCACGATTCGATCAACCATCCCTCGCTGAAGGTAAATAAAAATTAATCAGAGACGATTTACGATCCGACGAGGGGACATAAAATTGCACGTAATAACCGGGTAAAAGTTGCAAATGAACAAAGAGTCCCTGACATCGACATCGGGTTACAATTTACATGAGCAAGCGATACAGATTGTATACATAACTTCAACGTTTTTGTCAAATAATTACCAAAACATTAATAGCTCTTGTTCGTTGTCGCTTAAGTGTGTTTTGTACAATCATTCATAGCATATACATATACATGATTTATACGTCCATAGTTCACAAGATAAATCCGACCATTGAAACAAACGAGATGCTATGAGAACGTAAGTCACTGGCGCTATAAATTTCTTAATTATGCTTTACCACGTTTAAAATTTGACAAAAAACTGATGTTTAATTTGGTCATGTAATGAATCAAATACTCTGTAGAAATCGGTATTCCACGTCTCTGTATCGATAAATTACAAAGAGATGGGTAGAGATTACTCGTTACCTGGGTTTCGGGTTCCAACATGGCGATTTCGTGGACCAAATAGAATAATCGAAGTATCTGGTCGGCGCTGACTCTGGACGGGTCCCAGGTTTTCCCGCAATTGACCAAAAGCACCCTTCGTCCCTTGTGATCGGTCCCATTTAGAACGTTGACGACGTTGTTCTCCAAAATGGCGGACTTCTCGTCGGCTGGCATCAGATTGTCGAAGAGGGACGAGTTTTTCTCTTTGAACTCGGCGACCCTCTTCATCAGATCGTAGGCGCTCTTCGCGTAGAATTTGCATGGTCGCAGGAAGATCAGGAGGAAGTCGTCGTCGGTTTTGTAATAGATGGTCTTGTCCTCTGAACGGAGAAACAAAATCGGAGAATAGAATATTAGAAAATAGTTTGGTAATAAATTATTTTTATCGATGGGTAACGCTGTATGGGAGGGGGAAGTTATTTCCTTGGTAATCCTCTTTCCGAGATAATACGCGGCGTAATTAAGGACGATAACTATGGACGCCGAAACGGTGCACGACGGCGAATGATTTTCATTTCACGGGCCGTGACAGCCACGGAAGATCGAGCTGTCCTCGCGTGCCGACCAAGGAAGCCACTGCCGTAGGAAATTGCCTCCGTGATCCTCGTTAAGGAAATTGCAACGATCTCTATTTGCCCGGCGAAGTTGGCAACGGCGCTTTCGTACGAGCGAGCCTTGAATCGGTACGGGAAAACGGAGGGAGAGTCGAAAAAGGACTGCGAATCTACGCTGTGTCGCAAGGCTCCGCCATTGTTGGACGAACTTATCAGAGAAAAACACATCGCTGGGACGCGAAAGACCGTCGAGACGGTATGTAAAGTTCTGAGTCATCGTAGTCTCCTCAAAGTTCTAAATATACTTGTGGAAACAGTCCGTAAATCTCATCGAGAACGCTAAATATTTTGTTACTTTCGCGTTGAAAAATTTACAACAATTTAAACATTGCCGGATATCCTTGAAAAGGTTCACGATTTTTAATAATTTCAATAATAAACCAAGTTTCGAGCAGTGCCCAGCGAGACCCGGATAAGTGAAATCTAATTCGATTTCAGATAACCGGGGAGGGGGTAATTTCATCAATTCGTCGTTTCTAAATATACTTATGGAAACAGGCCCGTAAATCTCATCGAGAGCACCAAATATTTTGTTACTTTCGCGTTGAAAAATTTGCAACATTTTAAACATTGCTCGATATCGTTGAAAAGGTTTACGATTTTTAATAATTTCAATGATAAACCAAGTTCCGAGCAGTGTCCAGCAAGCCCCGGATAAGTGAAATCTAACTCGATTTCAGATAACCGGGGAGAGGGTAATTTTGTCAATTCGTCGTTTCTAAATATACTTGTGGAAACAGTCCGTAAATCTCATCGAGAGCGCTAAATATTTTGTTACTTTCGCGTTGAAAAATTTACAACAATTTAAACATTGCTCGATATCGTTGAAAAGGTTTACGATTTTTAATAATTTCAATGATAAACCAAGTTACGAGCAGTGTTCAGTACGCCCCGGATAAGTGAAATCTTACTCGATTTCAGATAACCGGGGAGAGGGTTATTTCAATTCAGATCGTAGCGCGCGTAGTTTTACGAGAATAGAGAGACACTGTGTTGGATTATCAACGTATATTTACGTTTTACAAGTAGGAATATTATGTCATACGGTTATCTCGTCCAACAATGACAAAGCAAATTTATATAATAGTAATTTGACGTGTCCGAGGCACGAGTTCTAATCATAACGTCTAATTTGAATTGCTCGGTACTGTACAAGAAATTATGATGCGTATATGTGTGTAGTAACATTTTGTTTCTGCGTGTTGTAAATGTAACGTCATCGATATACTTTAATTTTTCGTATCGTGTGAGATACGCGTACACTCCTGTAACTGACTGTACAAAAACAAACCGTTAACAGATAAGATAATTGCTGTTTCTTTTCGAGGAGTTAACCTCTCAACGAAGATTTCGTAACTTTTTTTTAGAGCAATTTATATATAAATATATTAATCGGACATTTTCCAGTTCGACAGTTAAATCTACACATAAATTGGATCAACGTCTATCAAAAAACGATAAAAAATGTAATCTGCTTGACCAACATAACCGTTACGCAAATTACAATTGCCTATCATTTACGAGTGTATTTCGCCAATTGCATAATCGAAACTATATCTTCGTAAACATTTAACTGGAGCAGTGCAGACGAACAAACTAATTCGCGTCAAACTTCGACGAATTATCGAACAAATTCTTTAGAATTCTTCGTGCAAATTCCAATCTTTTAACAATTTTCTTGTCAAGAAATACTCTTTTGCTTCGTTGGATATTAATTTCGAAATGTAACCTCAAGGTAGAGGCAGATGGAGCACGTGTCTTGGCCGCCATGTTGGAATACAATTAATCATATGTCTCGTAGTCGATTTTTATTTTATGGTGTTCCTAATGTTATTAACATTATTCACAAATTCACAAGCATTAAGGTTATCGTGAACATTAAAATTTACAGGAACATTATGGTTGTTACTGTTTTGCTTTATTAGATATTAATTTCAGAACATGTAATACATTTCAAGGTGGAGCACGTGTCTTGGCCGCCATGTTTGAATACAATTAATCATACGTCTCATAGTCGATTTTTATTTTATCGTGTTCCTAATGTTATTAAAGACGTCCCTAAATATAAATTAGGTTTTCGTAAGTCACTGTATATCCGCCATGTTGGAATACAATTAATCACGTGTCTCATTTTTATTTATCGTGTTTCTAATTATCAATAACATTATTGAAAAATTTACAAGCATTAAGGTTGTTATATTTGGTTATTTGAAGCGACGGTCACCGGTGACCACCAACGTGTTAAAGACGTCCCTAAATATAAATTAGGTTTTCGTAAGTCACTGTATATCCGCCATGTTGGAATACAATTAATCGTGTGTCTCATTTTTATTTTATCGTGTTTCTAATTATCAATAACATTATTGAAAAATTTACAAGCATTAAGGTTGTTATATTTAGTTATTTGAAGCGACGGTCACCGGTGACCACCAACGTGTTAAAGACGTCCCTAAATATAAATTAGGTTTTCGTAAGTCACTGTATATCCGCCATGTTGGAATACAATTAATCATGTGTCTCATTTTTATTTATCGTGTTTCTAATTATTAATAACATTATTGAAAATTTTACAAGCATTAAGGTTGTTATATTTAGTTATTTTAAACGACGGTCACCGGTGACCACCAACGTGTTAAAAACGCCCCTAAGTATAAATTAGGTTCGTAAGTCACTATATCTGCGCTGATGACTCCCAACTGATTAGGATTTTTCATCGCAGCGTTGCACTGAATCCGTTAAGAGATAGAGAGTGACCTTTCCGTGCTTTTGCATTGGTGCAACTTACACGGTTTGCATCTAAATCCTTAAAATCCTTCGTGTTGGTAGTCTGCTTTCCCCCCCTCCCCTTGGAAACTTACCTTCCTTTTACTATCTCCTTGGTTCAACTCTCCTTACTACGGAACGTGTTCTCCATAATCTCGGCGCAACGTTTGATTCATCTCGGTGTTTTGATCGCCGTGTTTGCTCTTCTCGTTTACATTTGAGACAAGCAACATTTTACTCATACAACGAACTGTTTTCTCGAAACATTCCCTGCGTGCCACTTCTGCCATAAAACACTCATATTTTCATAAAAAATAGTCGATAATTATGTTTCTACTAATTCGATCTGAAAAATTCATTATCTAATTCGAATTTATTTTATACTCAAAAAGTTTGTTTAGATAAGAGCTTTAACCATTTCTGGTTTATATTTTTCATATATTTCTCGTATTTTATCAACTTTAAACACACTTTCCTGATCCTTGGAGCCTATCTCGATTGACTATTAATCTTTCTACTCTATTTTCTTTTTCTGTTCGAACTACCCCAAAATTTGTATCTCAAATATTCCCACTCTTTCGTAAAATTGATTCTATTATTCCGTTCCAACCTTCCAGCTGGCTTAGTATGCGACAGAGATGCATTCCTCGTCTCTGTTGCCTCGTCTGCAAGGTCCGTGACTCAAAGTCTCGAGAAAAGAATCGAGGCCCTACTGCACACGAACAAATTAAAAAACAATCCCGATACATTTTAAAAACTGTTCTTGCACCTTCGATTCCCCAGATAACATTTTTCCTATACGAAATTCTGCGTGGAACAAACGTATCAGCATATCGAGATCGCGGCCATTTTGGTACCAAAGAGGAAACATCTTAATCGCGAAGAATCGTTTCAAATTTCACTTTTCTAAGGTACAGTACTTAATTCTGCTTCGTCAACGGTTCTCTAGATATTCTCGGAATAAAAAAGATTCCCTTTGTCGTTGATTCACGCACCGCTATCAGCATTGTTTTCGACGTTATCATCGTGGAACGGGATCCAACGCCGGTGCAGTAAAAACGTTATCTGGAGCGTACGAATCTCCGGTCTTTTTTTTGTTATCGTCGTGGGTCAAGGTCCACGCTGTTATCGCACACGGATTCGAAATCAATCGGCTTACGATCGATCCACGATCGTTTCGAATTGTTACAAGTTGTTTGCGCCTATGAAAATTATCTCGGCGAGCACGGTTTATTCGATAACAGCGAGTACCAGGGAGCCGAGTCCGCCGCCACGATAACCGTTATCGAACAAACGAGCGTGACCCTAACTTTAGATTTCTGATGCACTTGCAGACGCACAGATCATGTCAATGCTCCGAACGTTTTCAAACAGGAACGTTTCACGATCTTACAGAAACTCTATTTTCACTATCATTATTCCCACTTTCGAGGGTGTTACGTAAACATTTTGAGGTTAGGTTTTTAGTAACATGCTTAATTGTGCAATAATTAGGTATATTGTTTTCGTTGCTACATATTTAGAGATTTCAACAACACTTGAACGATTCACTACGTTTACTTTGACTTTCTACGGAGTTTCGTAAACATTTTGAGGTTAGGTTTTTAGTAACATGCTCGATTACGTAATAATTAGATATTCGTTGCAACATATTTGGAGATTTCAACAACTGTTGAACGATCCACTACGTTTACTCTGACTTTTTACGGTGTTTCGTAAATATTTTGAGGTTAGGTTTTTAGAAACATCCTCAATCGTGTAATAATTAGGTATATTGCATTCGTTGCTACATATTTAGAGACCTCAACAACACTTGAACGATTCACTACGTTTACTTTGACTTTCTACGGTGTTTCGTAAATATTTTGAGGTTAGGTTTTTAGAAACATCCTCAATCGTGTAATAATTAGGTATATTGCATTCGTTGCTACATATTTAGAGAC